CGTTAAACCCTCTGCTATTATCTATGTGTTAAACGGGCCAACAGGCCTCAGTACGAGCCTCCGATTGAAACACAAGAGAATTCCCATGAAAAAGCAGTATATTACAAATCACTCTTTGTAACCTGTACAAACGCGTGCAAGCAGGACAAGTACTGAAGGATTGTTTGCTTGGGGCGCGTTTTCTTTTTGAAGTGGAGCGATAAGGCCCTAGCAAGTAGAGAATTTTTGAGCTTTGACTTGGTATTATATAAGTTGGATCAAGCGATGCACAAAAATGTCTAATATAAGGAACGCAAAATTATGAGAGACAAAAAAATTTTGCTAATCGGGGACCTGAGGTCTTCCGTAGCTCCGGAGACCTAAATCACAAAAAGGTACAGCGTTTCATTCTCATAATTTTTCAAAGACTTTTTAAACACTTCTTCTACTTTTTCTTGCGCATCTTTACGCCAATTTTGGTAGCTGTTTTTCGCCTAATCCTTTGAGAAACGGGTATATGGATTGAAACAAACATCGAGCCGGTACTGGAGCAGTATCTGAACGGTTACAGATATGGAAATTACTCCGTCCTCTGCGTCAGGAAACCATTACTATAACAGCTATTTTCCGACATCAGCAGCTGCTTACTCGGAACTTGATGCTTTTTATGAGGATTTGGAGGGATTCATCCGCAAAAAAAAACTCCTTCTATAAGTTCGTCGTGAGTGGCTTCAATGTGAATATCGGGATGCCAAAAGAAATAGAGCACAGGATCGGGAGATTTGGATCAGGACTCCAGAATGAGAATGGTAACCGGTTGAGCTCTTATCTGCCAAGATTTTCATGGCAACTCCATTTTCATGAAGAAAGAACACCGGCGGTGCACATGGGAGTCACCCAACTCATGCAGAGATTAACCACATTCTCACCAACCGAAGGTGGTGCTTACTGGACGTCTCAGTTTACCATCCTTCAGTAGTGGCTCAGATAACCGCCTCTTTCAAGTAAAAGTGCAATTCAGCCTAAACTGGAAAATAAGATCTATCAGCGTGTTGGAGGAAGGAGAGAAGTCGTATATGACGGCGTCAGATTGGAGGAGCTCCTGACCACTTGTGACTGGCCCGTCGAGGAGGACCTGACGAAAGACTGCTACCTGCTTTTTAGAGGACTGAGAGCCTGTGATGAAAGTGCCTCAATGCTTCGCACAAGGAACTTGGAACGAATTTCGAAAGCCATCAAGGATCTACTAGAGAGGAAAAGAGCACGAGGCTGGATCCGACTGTATCACATCTCGAGCCGACTGGCAGCCAATATTGCAGAACA